TCCCAGTCCTCCAGCAAGAGGAGAGGAGACAGAAGGCCAGGGTGAACCTTCAGGCTCCATCTGGAGGGAAGGAGGAGAGAGCCCGGCTCTTCCTGAACAGACACAATCACTGATCTACGGAAACCTAACCCAACAGGCAAACCTTGGCAGGAAGCTCATAAAGCTGGGTTCTTTGTGTGGAGTAGTAACATAGAGCACTCATTAAATGAAATGAGAGTCAAAGCCACTCCTTGGGCAATGATTAAGCTTCCTTTCAGGGAGGATGGGTGGGGAGGCGGCTTGAAGTCTGGGCTGCAAATTATGGGAAATTAGGGCTTCTGATGCCTTCCCCAAAGTCATCCCGTTGTCCCCATGTTGCCCCCAAGCTGTAATGAGGCAACCTGTTTCCTAGGGCAGAAATCTGGGATTCAGGACAGAGCAGGAACTGCCAGGAAACTGAGGGAGAAAAATTAATATGGAGAAGGTCCATGGAACTCCAGGAATGAAGCAAAAAAAAAAAAAGGTAAACATTTTTCTGGAGGCAGATCCCATATTTCACAGGAGTACCTAAAGAGGTTAAGGGAATCTACATCGACAGCATACAATACTTAAAAACTATTCACAACAAAGTGGTTTTTGTGTGTGTGTGTGGGATTACTGGATGGGTGGATTAGTACAGAATTATCTCATGGGGGGGCAGGATATGTTGCTTTCTACAGCTGCATGCCATCACTTGATGGAAAATGAAAATGTCCCTGGACCAGCCTAACTTTTTCCACAGGACAAAGCAGGCGAGGGGATCTGTGGTCAGACCTCCAAAACACAAATTTACAAAATGCATTCAGTAGCCTTTTTTGTCATGGAATTTTCTCAGGTGCAAACGATCTTTCCTGGTGGCCCAGGGCCTGGGGTGCCTTTAACAACAAAGTCACAGTTCTAGATGGTAAGAGGTGAGGCCATTTCTGGAAGGCGTTCATCCAAAAACCCTGAGGTAGGTCCAAAGAAAGTCCTGGTGACCTGACCGGGCCAGGAGGCAGCCCCGGAATGCGCAGCCTCTCCCAACTTCCGGGCTCTTCCTTCCCAGCTCCTCTCAGGTCTGTCCACAGCGAGTGCCGACAGCCAGAGCCATGGAAATGAGTGACCCCGGGGCCCTGCTCACTGCCTGGTTTACCCAAGCAAAACCCATCAAGCAGCTCTATAGAAGGGAATCCAAGGCACTAAGTTCCAAACTTGAGGCTGATCCCAGAAGCCACACCTCCTTATAAAGCTGAACTGAAACAGGAAAGCAAACAGAACAAACTCGGGGCACGGCTCTGTGGCAAGAGGGAAGGGTCACATCCAGCTGCCCCCAAGGAAGGAAGGGACGAGTGAGAACACCCAGGAGCCACAGAGCAGCAGCATTTAGGGGAGCAAGCGTTCTGGCCCCTCCAAACTCGGTCCGAACTGGCAGCTGCTTCCTCTGAGCCCCAGAAAGTAAGGTCTGGAAGGTGCTGAGGGCCACCTGGAAACAGAGTAGAGCGTGCAAGCAAGTGTGTGTGACAATAGGGATTCATGTCACCACCACCAACCACCAGGAGCCTGATCTCTGCTGCGGGCAAGCGTGGCAGAGGTGGGGAGAAAGCAAAGATGTGGGCAGGGGAGAAGTCCTAGTGTCCACAGCCCTGCTGGCCTCAGCTCACCTCGCCCACTCCTGCCAGCTCCGGCACCCCAGCGTGGGAAGCCAGTTCATGCAACAGCCCAGCTACTTGCTCAGCCCAACTTCCAAGCCAAACAGCTTCTGGGGGAGGCAGCCAGTGGACTGGGGTGGGGGGAGAGGAGCCGAGCCTGGTGCCCCACCCCACTCGCCCATGCCTGTCCAGACCCTGGGTCCTGAGGTCTCACATTCTCTGCCATGTGGCTTTCTGTTTCCACAGTGCCTGACTGCAGCTCCGCAGTTAGATGTGCAGCAACACGTGAAAGGGGCCGTTTTGCTCCGTGGAGGGAAACTGGCCCCAGCGCAGGAAGAGGTGGGGAAGGGAGGCTGGGACTGGTTGCAGCTACACCTGTGGCTTACATTTCCACACTGCTCAGGGAATTGCTTCCACCTTCCCACGGCCCAGGCCACTTTCTGCTGGTGAGCAACAACAGCTGGGGATGGACGGAGAGCTCACATCTACTGCTGTGCTCAGCCCGGTGTGTCTCGAATAGCTTCTCCTGTGACCCCTCGGGTTGGGGACTCTGTCCACTGGCAAAGGCACGCAGGCAACGGACAGAGGACGACCGAGTGGAAAACCCCACCCAGGATGGAGACAGAGAAGAGGAAAGAGACATGGGAACCAGGCTCTGCTCCAAAGCAGAGGTCAAAACAAGCCGAGACCTGTGAACCAGTGCAAGTACCCGCCGCACTTCCCCCCTCCTGACTCCACTTTGGGCTGGGTGGGGAAAGTCCTTTGGCCACCTAGGTGATGGGGAGGGGTTAGTGTTGCAGACTGAGCTTGAAGGCAGATTTTGAGTCCCTTTGCTTACAGGTGGGGACACTGAGGTCTAGGGCAGAGAGTGACCTGCCCAAGGAATCTGTGAGCTGGGGACTCCTCCAACAAAACAGCCAGCAGGGTTAGGATTTGGGGGGATGGGACAGGACTGGACAGAGCCTTGCCTAAGCCTGGCTTCCCACTTTACAGCACGGAATCCTAGTGTCTGTCATTCTGACATCAGGGGGTGTTTTCCCCCTCAATCTTTTTATTTGGGGTCAGGGGCGAGGCAGGGAGAGCTGAGGGAGGGAACGCAGAACCGAACCGAACCAAAATAGAGCCAAGTCATTTTGCTCTGGGGACTTTGGAAAAACAGAGTGATTGCTGGTTTGCCGTGGGCATGGGCGCCCCATGCTGGTAGGGCAGGCCTGGCTGCCATGGAGACCGGAACAGGGCCAGGGCAGAGGCCCCGCCCTGGGCTGGGTTGTCCCTTCACCAGGTGCTGGTGGCCTGACCCCCAACCCTTGCTTTTCTAGGCACACATCAGGAGCCAAGTGCCAAGATCATAAACTAATGGTCTCAAGAAGAAAGACGTGGTGCCAACACAATAACCCCAGCAGTTCCCTTAGATCACAGCTTATCCTAAAAGGTAATTTAAGGGCTGGGCATGGTGGAGTTATGTCTGCTATCCCAGCACTAAGGAGGCTGAGCCAGGAGGATGGCAGCAAATTCTAGCCCTGTCTATGCTACCTAGTGAGTTCACGGCCAACCTGGAATACACAGTAAAACCCTGTCTCAAAAAAAAAAATTATTTTTTGGCGAGTTTCATCCCACCCTTCTATCCCCGTCCAGCCATCAAACCCTGCTGGGTCAAGTAATTTATGTCTGTCACCACTGGTCTGTCACAAGACCCTGATTAAGTCATTTAACCTCTTGTGGGCCAGACTTGCAATCAGCCTGTGAAACAGACATATTATTTCCTGTTGCGGCTCTCTCCTGGAACTGGGCAGGGGAGGCCTGCAGATTGTAACAGCACTGCGCAAGTGGACTGTAACACTGCCCCAGCCTATCCATCCTCTCCTAGAGGCTCATCTCCAGCTGCTCACCTCCCTTCCTGTGGCGGAGACGGGAGGAGGACAGTGGGCCACTCAGGAGTTGCAGAACTGGCTTAGCCTCACTATCCCGGGCAAGCCACCCCTCTCCCATCCCCTGCTTCCTCCTGAGGAACAAGAGGGCAAAGTCATTGCCCCTTCTAAATGCAGACACCTTCGTAGGGAGGCATAACCAACCAGCTAGCCAGCAGCACGGAGCCGGGCAGGGCCGCGCTGGGCGTGGCGTGACAGGCTGGGGACGGTAGGACAGACTGCAAGCCAGCAGGTAACTGACTGAATGACCGTGGGGTGGGGGTCTGTGCCCACGCCACAGGGGCAGATGGGGGCCCGCAGGCACTGTGGCAGTCCGTGGGTCCTCCCAGCTCCCAGCTTGGTGTAGCCTAGGCAGCCGGCGGGACTAAGCAAGAGACGGGGCTGGGAGACCAGGGGAGGAGAGGAAAGGGGTGTGGTGGGGCAGGGCGGCGAGGCCCTAGCCGCCTTCAGACATTCTTTTGTGGTGCCAGGAGTTGCTGAGTGTGGGAAGCCAAGCCAGGCAGTTCCAGGAAACCACCGGGTGCGCACCCCGGGCAGGGTCTCCCTACAGAGATCAAAGACTGGGCAGGGTCGGAGCCCTCAGTGGCGTTGGGTGTGGTGACGACGGCAAGGGCAGGTCAGTCTGTACCGGCTGCAGAACTGTCCCCGCCAGGCCTTCAGCCCGGGGCAGGATTAGCCCTTAGCTTTGCTCGCAGGACTGCAGGGACCCCCAGGGACCGGACCGGCTGGGGGTAATAGCCGTCTTGTTTACAAGCCTCTGCAGGGGCCTCGCCAAGCCCTTTCCTGCTTGCAGAAGGCTCCTGCCCTGGGTGGACCAGAGGTCCTCGGTGACAGAAGGCTCGAGGCGGACCCTGCCGCGCTGGGGCCTCTCTGCGCTTCCCGCCTCCTCCGAGGCCGAGGGCTGCCTGGGCGTCCCAGTCGTGCAGCCCCGCCCGGCCGCAGGGTGGGCTGGCAGGAGGGGGCACCCGCACCCGGTGTTTCCGGAAACTCGGATCACCCTACCGGAGGCGTCGACGGACACCTGCCCTCCTCTCCTACCCCCTTGTTCTCTAAAGCCAAGATAGTCATCGTTCTTGGAAAACAAGATCAGGATAAGCTAGTTTTTCGGCTCGGAGAGCGGCGCTCTCCGGCGGCTCAGAAGCCACGTCCGGGAAAGGGGCTGCGAGTCCTGCCCGGAGGACAGGGCCGAGCCCCGGGACCCGCTCCGGTCCTCCTGGCCGGGCCCCGGGCCCCAGGCAGGGGCGCCCGCGTCTCCCGTCCCTTCCCTTTTCACACTCGGAGAGGGCCCGAGGGTGGGTCCTGAAGCAGGGCGTAGGGGCCGGGCCGGTGTGCGCGCCCCGGGCTCGCTTGGCCTCCCAGCCCGGGGCACCGGGTGCCGGTGCGGCGGGGCCGGGGCCGGGGCCGGGGCGCGGTGGCGCCCACTCACCCAGAAGATGAAGTTAAACCCGAAGAGCAGGTATTTGATGCACTTGGAACCTCCTTTGACCGGCATGGTGCGGGCTGGACGGGCCTGGGGTGCGAGCGGCGGGGATAGAGAGGACCCGGCGCCCGGGACGGAGGGGCTGGCGGCTGCAGTCGGGTTCCTCGGGCCGCACTTTTAAAAAGTGCCACCCGTCTCGGCGCGGGTGGCGTTGCGCATGTGCGCGGACCCGCCCGCGACCCCGCCCCGCCCCGCCCTTGAGCGCCCGGCCCCGCCCCCTGCCCCCCGCCTCCCGCCGTCCCGGGGTTTTCCAGGCTCCCGGTCCCCGACTGGGTCTTAGGAAGGCCCCACCCTTCCGGCTCTGGACTTGGGGAGACCATGTCCGGGCGGGCTGGCCGGCTGGCCGGCAGCGTGGGCCCCGCCGGCAGGGAAGCTCGCGGCCCGGTTCGCGTCGCCGGCGCCCCTGGGACCTCCCCAGCCGGGAGCGTCTGCCACGAGGAGCTGGCGGGGCAGGCGAAGCCTCGGAGCCCTTGAAGTCGGTAGCGGACCACACTCCGGGCCCCCGGGTTCTACGGCCGGTCCGCGCCCCGCTGGAGCGTGTGCCCTCGCGCCCGGGAGGGGAAGCTTTGCAGCCGGGGTGCTGGCCGCGCTCCACGTCGCTTCCGCTCGGAAACTCCCCGGAGCTCCCTGCGCGACGGTGGCCTCAGGCGGAGTCCTCCGTGCGCCCCGGGCCGAGAGCAGGGGACCTGCTCCGGTGCCTTCGGGGCGCTACCGGGCCGGCCCTGCCTTCCTGCGGAGTTGCGTGCTTCCCACTCTCTTTCAGTCCCACGCCGGGTGTGGAGTGCTTTCAACCGCTCTGCGTTTTTCCCAAATGAATTTTCCTTTAGCCTTCTTTATTATTACGAAAGCAAGACGTGCCCGAAGGAAAAAGGGCCGGGGGTTTAGCTCAGTGGTTCCGCTTCCTGCTTTACAAATGCAAGGTCCCGAGTTCGATGCCTGGTACCGGGGGAAGAAAATTAAGCCAAAACCAAAGAAGCCAAAATTTTGCTCAGCGCAAAGAGCCAGTCAGTGCACTGTAGCTTTTATTAAGCGACTTATTATCATTAGATTTATCTCACTGATTGATTGATTCGTTCAAAAACATGTTTTGCATATCTGCTTTATTTCATTAGGGACAAGAGCGGAAAGTGATGGATCAGATCCTGGATTAGCTCCCGAAGGGACTCGGAGGTCTGGTGGAGGGGAGGCGGTACTGTATGGGGCTGGAGACTCCCTGGGGCTGGGGTGCTTACAGCAGAGCTTCGAGGAAGAACCGGCTGTCCCGCAGCGAGCGAACGTTCATCAGGTGATGCCCGGGACACAGGCCGTAGCTGGGGCTCGCAGATGCTAAGGGGGATGTGGGCAGTGAGGGCCAGCTCTGGGGACCTGGACGTGCAGGGCCATGGTCCGGAAGTGGGGGGCCGCCGAAGGGGTCTGGCCTCACGCGGTCGCTATGCAGGCTTAGGTACAAGTGGGGGGTGGCGGGCGGCAGTGAGCTGCAGGACAAGGATCCTTAGGTCCATTCCTCCTTAGAGCTTTGGGGAGCAGGAGGGAAGGCTGAGATGCTGAAGTTGGGGAATGTGCTGAGAGCAGGCCAGCTGAGGACAAGGCAGGGACCCTTAGGAGGCTGTGGGACAGTTGTGGGGGCGCAGTGGCGTACAAAGGGGACAAGGTGGGAACGGAGGGAGAAGTCAGCAGCAGAAGCCAGATTTGGGGGCTGCATTCATTGGCCGAGGAGTTCAGTGAGAGCTTGTGTCACGTGGGCTGGGGGTGTGGAGGGAACAGGTGAGGTAAAACCACCTCTATCCATGCGGGGTCACAGGCAGAACCCAGGGGCCAGGAACAGGCAGCTAGGCACAGCCTTGGAATCCTCGCCCCAGTGGAGGTGCAGTGTGGGAACGAGCCTGAGTGCCAGGACACGCAGTGGCTGCCTTTGGCACTTCAGGTCTGTGGGTAGGTGGAGGAGAAAATTGCAGGCAGAGCAACCCTGTGCAGAAGGTGCAGAGCCTGACCACAGGTGGGTGGCTGTGTTAGGAAACTACAGGTGGGGGTTGAGCCGGGAAGAGAAAGCAGCAGGACTGAGGGGCAGAGCCTGCCCGGAGCCCAGCCCAGAGCCATGAGGGCCGAGCCGAGGAATGCAGGCCAGGCCTTTGTCAGCACCCATGAGGTGCTTCTCCCTGTGTGGTGTCCTTGTGCTGCTCCAGTCCAGTTTGGAAAGCTGGTCTCGGTCTTGGTCTCGGAGAAAGGTTTTTTTCTCTGTAGCGCCTCACCCCCCAGGCACTGAGCGCTGGTGGGAGGAGCTCAGTAAACATTTAAGGTCACACTGTAAACCACTTCTCAGGGTAACTTAGTCCTGGAGAAGGTAATCCGCAGAAGAACTCCAGGCATGTGGCCCGCTGTTGCTATGACAAGCATTACTTGCCCCCAAGGGACAATGGGGGCAGCCTACAGTGCAGAAGGATGTTGCATATATTCAGGGATCTTTATATTGAGATTCAGTGTGGAGATCCCAGCATGGTTGTGGTTCCACTCCGGCTATAGACTGTGCAGGTCACTGCCAGCCTCAGCCATCTCGCCTGGAAAAAGTCCTCTCCAATCTGGCAATAGCTGGATGGTGCAATAAGGCTCTGGGCCAAAGTGCATTTGCTACAGGCAACCAGGAAAGGGAGATGGAAAGAAATATGATTTGGTTTAACTGGAAGAGCAAAATCTGGGTAAGCCCTGAGTCGGAGATCACATGGAGGCAGCCAGGCCTTCCAGGCTTTGTGGAGCTGGATGGGGAGAACAGCACTACCCCCCTAGGGTGGGGTCAGGTTTCTGCAAAAATCCCAGTGTCCACTTTCACTCTTTTGCGCCCCTGATGATAATATTTGAACAGTGGGGGACCAGCGGGCTAGAGATCAGTCATACCCAACCTTCCTGGGACTTCCTGCTGTGGGCAACAGGCAGGACCACCGGTCTACACACCGCCAAGGCCTTCTCATCCACCGTAGCAGTGGCCATCTTGGTTAATCTTCACTTCTAGAAGCTTCTTTGCTGCTCTTTTTACAAAACTCTGGTGCCACTGCCTCATGAGGCCTCTGTGAGCACCCCAGTGTCTTGGTCCTTGGGTTACCCTCCAGGTAGCCTCACCTGAGTGTCTTGTTTGTGACTCACTGGCCTCCATCAGCTTCCTGTATGTGGACACAGTTGGATAGTGAGCTCCTCCACAGTACACTTGGTTTGTTTAATTTCTGTTCTCTGGCTGGCCCACAATAGGTCCTTGGTACACATTTGTGGAATAACTGCAAGGACACATGTTACCCTCTGCTTCTTTCTCAGCTCTTGCCTTGAGCCCTGCAGCCCTGCCCATGTTTTCTTTGTGAGCTCCCCTCTCTGTAAATTCAAGCCTTGTACCCATTCAGTTATGTGCTGACCCTGTCTTGCGTGTGCCACTTCACTCGACACAGGGGACACTGCAGGTGGGATTAAGTTAAAAGATCTTGAGAGGACATGAGGTAGGGTAGAAAAAATAGAGGGCTGGGGATTTAGCTCAGTGGTTCTACCGCCTGCCTCGAAAGTGCAAGGACCTGAGTTGGATCCCCGGTACCTAAATAAATAAATAAAAATAAAGATAGAAAGACAAAGGAGAATCATAATTTTTAAATGATGCTTTTAAGAAGACTGCAACTTCAGGAGAGATCAGTTACCCAAGGTTATCCATATCTTTACTCTAGGCTTGTTTATAGTGTACTGCTTTACCGGGCCCACCACATGCCACATCTCTTAAACCGCATTAGTTTAGTGCTCAGTTAAAGGCCAGAAATGACCTTGAGAAGTACAATAGACTGAGCCGGGCCTACCCCATTGTATGGGTGGACCTTGGCATTTCTTCTATAAACAAAGCCCAAACTTTCTATAGATTGACAAATTCCACAGATTTGCACTCCCCCAAATCCCTAATTCAGCCACCTCTTTCTTGAGGGTCTGCACTCTATGTTTTGAATTCTGCCTGGTGTTCCTCTTTCTGCCTCTTATTGATACATTCTGAAAATTCTTTTTTTTTTTTTTTTTGGTACCGGGGATCGAACTCGGGTCCTTGCCATTCTGAAAATTCTTTTTCTGCAATGGAAGTCAGTGAACCTGCAACCTGCCTGGTGGGTGGGGTGAGTGGAGGTTCCCCATCTGGGCTTTGGGGACCTCCTCTTTTTTTGGGGGGGTACCAGGGATCGAACTCGGGACCTTGTGCTTGTGAGGCAGGTGGCGGAACCACTGAGCTAAATCCCCGGCCCTTTTTTTTTGAGACAAGGTCTGGCTAAGTTTCCCAGGTTGGTCTTGAACTCACAATCCTCCTGCCTCAACCTCCTGAGTGCCAAGATTATAGATGTGCATCACCAGCCTAGCCTAGTAACCCATTATTTCTTTTTATTGCCTTAAGCACATACACAGTCAGCATGGAAACCCGTTATGTATAGTGTGGATTTGCCCTCAATTCCATGGTTGGGCAGATGAAAGGTTACATCTCACATACCAAAGTGAGAGATCAGGAGATTAGGGTGGGGTTGACTGGCTGGAAGTGGTGTAGCCTGTTTTGAAACCCCAGGACACATGTGCAGAACAGTTCCCAAAGTCCTGCATGTGGTCCCCATCCTGAGAACTTGAGCAAGTTATCAATAGGATGGCCTAGACCTGATGTCAGCCTGCAGTAGGAGCCACGAAAAGGGATAGTCACCACTGAGCTCCTGCTACTGTGCACTTTCATGGGGTCCCTCCTCATGCTGTAGGGTGAACTTTTTTCCCCACTTTTTCTTGGCCCCAACCAAACTTGCTCTACAGAGCCTGTTTCTTTTCCTACCCTTAATAAATGTAAAACCTCACTACCGTTTGTACTTGTCTTGACCAATTCTTTGCTCAGGACAGAAAGAACCTGGAAAGAACCTCTGGAAGGAGACTCCAGCATCCCAGAGCTCGGTAACAAGAGAACACCATTCTGAAAATTGCTTCTGGATATCTCATCCTCAAACTCTGCTCTCTGGCAACTACATTTGTCCCCTGCTCCCCAGCCCAGCCCTTGCAAGCTCCCGGCCCTTACCTGCCCACCCTGGGAAGTCTTGGGCAGCACTTCAGCTCTAGCTGGCATTTCCGTTTTTACTCCCTCTCCTCCCCCTGTTCAGCAAAACAGTATTTCTC